CTGACAGACACAGTCTCCTGTATTTCCTTAAAAAATCAGTGATTTCTTTGGGGGAAAAAAGCAGCAAGCTACACAGGCTCATGTACAAGGACCTGGTGGGCTGCCTGTCTCTTGATGGCTCAAGACTAGTTCTCTTCCTGAAAGGTGTTTTAGTTAAAGCCAGACTGAATTGGAGCAAAATTCCCATCCCTAGAAGTATCTAAGGCTAGGGCTTGGATCAACCTGGTCTAGTGGAAAGTGTCCCTGCCCATGGCAGGGGGTGGGACTGGATAATCTTTCAAGTCCCTTCCAACCCAGACCGTTCTGGCATTCTATTATAAACAAATACACAGAGCTTTGAAGCTCTGGAAAGCTCATTCCAGCCCTTTGAGGTATTTTCTGCACTTTCCCAGGTTCTGGTTTCACAGACAATAACTCTTGGCTGCAGCAGAGCCCAGCTGAGCAGCACAAGGGAGAACAGGAGGAGCCAATACTTTGCTGGTGTCCGGAGCAGGGCTGTGCTGTGCCTCTCTCAAGAGGAGGGAACCAGACACATCCTCTGCTGCGCAGTGAAAGTGAGAAGATAAAAGCAAGGCTCCCTGTGCCCCAGGCAGTACAAGTCTCCTGTCCCTGTCTAGCCGGCAGCAGCACTAATGTGACAAGCAAACAGCAGGCTGGTGAGAAGGTCTGCTCCTGCCCACCTCATCCCTCACCTCGCCTGCTCCCCGACCTCTCTGTGCCCCCTGCTGCCTTTGCCAGCAGGAATCCGGGACCGTGGCTACGAGGGAATTGTTTTGATTGAAGATGAGGGGGGAAAAAAATCCTCTTTTCTGGTGCTCTGCGCATCCCGGGATCCGTCTTGCCTGCGCTCCATCGCTCACGGATGAATTCCACAAGGTTTGTAACAGGATCAGGCTGGGCTCAGTCCAGTGCTAGGAGACCCCCAGCAGAGCAGGGCCATGGCCCATGTCCTTGCTTTGGACCGTGGTCACCTGTCCTTGAGCTCAGGGGCTCCTCCAAGTGCTGTCAGGACAGCCCTCCCCAAAAGAGCCTGCGTGGCTGGGACACGACCTGGGCTGTGACAGCCACCAAAATTCACCGGCTGATGCCTGAGACAGAGGTGTGAGCTGCACATTTCCTGGCCAAGAGACCCAGGGAATCATGGAAGATGGAAAAAGACCTCCAAGTCCAACCTTTGACTGAATGCCACCTTGTCCACTAAGCCGTATCACCATGTCGTGACATACTGCCACCCATGTTAATAATGCAAATAATCATAACAACTTTTCTGGATCTATAGAGGGGGAGAAATCATCCTGGTGGGTTTATTGGGACAGTGGATCAGTTTCCTTCACTATACACTCCTTGTATTCCCTCTGCAAGGGCCATTTGTGGCTCTCTGTGGCTCTGTCTGCAGCCAAGAGCCTCTGACATCAGCACTAATCCTCCTTCCTTATCCCCTGTGACAAGAGTTGCTCACAAAAGGGACACATTCCCAAGAGCCTGGATGTTCTTTCCCCCACCACTGGGAGGTCTTGAATTTGTCTTTGGATACTCCAGAGCCCAAGGCTTCTTCCTCCCTCCTCAGGTCACAGCAGCCAGTTACCTGGAAGTGCCCTTCCCACTGCTATTAACTCATCCCTGCCCATGGAGCCCTTTCCTTCAGCTCTCCCAGGGCACTCAGCCTGTCCACGGTGTGGATGGAGCCTGCAAATCCTCACAGCACCAATGAAACAGAGAAATTAAGAATCAGGAATCACCAAGACTCTTCCCACTCCCCACCCCTCCCCAAAGAAAGGCCACGAATTAGTAGTCAATGCCAGCAAGAGCTGGTGCCTGGCATGGCTTTCAATTAATCAAGTGTCATTATCTGGAGCCCCGGGCCAGGCTCAGATCCTTGACCCCTTGGGATGCTGGCATGGCTCTCAGCCACCCTCTTGGCACAGATCATTTGTTGAAGAATGGCTGGGAAAAGGCTTTTGGTGGCACCCAGGCTCTGGCAGGGTCCCTTCAGACAGGACTGTGGCACGTGGAGAGTCCTGGATTTCACTCCTGAAGGGACGCTGAGCTTTTGGGGCATGAGGTGCTGCAGGGTGTGAGAGGCAGGGGTGCAGGTGAGCTGGAGATGCAGGTGAGCTGGAGATGCAAAGTGTGGAGCTGGAGGTCGAGGAGAGCCTGCTGAGGAGAGCAAACTCAGCCTGGGCTCAGAGGTGACAGGAGGTGCTGCCCAGGAAGGCAGTTGGATCATGTTTATGGGGATCCAGTTTGCTGGAAGGGATCATGGCCATGGGATGATGGTCACCAAACGCTGTGCCACCCACCTGGCCACACTCAGGACCTTCCTTCCCTCTGGCTGCTCTAGGGGGGTCGTTTTCTTACTCTCCCAGGAGATTTTTCCTGGGATCACAGAATGGTTTGGATTGCAAGGGACATAAAAGCTCATCACCAGCAGGACACCTCCCAGTATCCCAGGGTGCTCCAAGCTCCATCCAACCTGGTTTTGGGCAATTCCAGGGATTCAGGGGCAGCCACAGCTTCTCTGGGCACCCTGTGCCACGGCCTCCTCACCCTCCCAGGGAAGAATTCCTTCCCAGTGTCTCATCTAACCCTGCTCTCTGGCACTGGGGAGCCATTCCACCCTGTCTGGCCCTTATAAAATGTGGGTGCTGAAGAACTGGTGACACCTGATGGGGCATCACTCCTCAGTCCTGCAGCACAGAGGGTCCCCAGCAGTCACCCTGTGCCCCTGGGGAACCAGGGGGGTTTTCCTTGATTCCTGCAGGGCTGCAGGACCCCGAGGGGTGGTGGGCACTTTGCTTTGTCCAGCTGTGGCAGGAGCACAACCTCATCACACATCACACGATGGAGCCCCAGCTGGCTCCTCCATCCAGAGCCAAGGCACAGAGAGGGAGGCTCATCCTTCCTCTGCTCCCTCTCCTCTCCCCCAACACCCTCCATTCTCCTGTCCCAGCTCTGCCTTTGTGTCTGCAGCTCCTGTTACCAACTGCTAATGATCTACATCAAGGCTGCCAGGCGGTGCCTAGTGTAAGCAGAAGAATTCAGAGCCTCTAATTACAGAGGAATTAGCAAGCAGACAGTTAGTGTTTAGTGCTAATGAATAGATACATTAAGAGAGACATCACACAGGCTGAGAAGTGTGAGCCCTGATAATAAAGGAGTGTCAAACCAGGAAAACACAAGGAGGAGGATCCAGGGGACTGAAAAGGATTCGCCCTCGACTCAGCTCGCTGGTTTTGCTCAGGTGGGAGCCACGGGTGATAGATACATGAAGGCTCAAGCACAGCAGAGAAATGCAAGTACAAAATATGAGCATCAAATTATTAATCCATAGTGCAGGACCACGGTGGGAGGGAGCAGAGCCCCTTCCCAGCTCCAGGTAGCATTACAGCCACCCCACCTCCATCAGGTAAAGGCAGCTGGTCATCCAGACCCGTTCCCCTCTCCTCCCTGGGGGCAGAGCTGTCCCTGCTTGGAGCCAAACCATGGCTCAGCCTGTGTCAGACCTGCCTTCAGGGCTTCAGAAACACCCTGGTTCTGCTCCTGAGCTGACTCCAGATCAGAGGGCACCATCATGGTTCACCCAGACACTTCTGCAGGTTCCCTCTGTCCTCACACTCTGAAGTGATGCCCACCTGCCCTACTGCTGTTTTCCCCGGCAGCCAGAACATGCCAAATTCAGCCCTGGGGGTCAGGTAGTGTCCAGGACAGTTCAGAGGGACCAGAATCTCTCCTGCTCCCAAGCAGGGCCGTGCCTCACTGGCATCCTTCCACCTCAATCCCATTAAGCCAAGCCCCGGCCTCAGCCCGTGCCCAGCTCCAGATGGCTTCCAGGTGGGCTGGGCAGGCAGCCCTTGGCCAGCAGCTCGGTGAGGCTCCCTGCCACCAGCACAGCTGCCAGGGACCCTCCTGGGAGCAGCACTACCAGCCACCCTGACCATCCTTTCCCCAGCAAAGCCACCCTGCACAGAGCTGGAGACCCCTGAGGGAACCCTCCCAGCTCTGCGCTTCAGCTGCTTCACCAAGTGACGGGAGCAGATTCCCAGACTGTTATCTCAAATATTCATCTCCCAGCCCCTCTTCTGTGCAGCTTTGCTTCCTCAGCCCGTCCTGGCTCTCTCTGCAGTCCAAGCAGGGATTGCAGCTCCTATCAGAATGCTGGAGCTGCCTCACCTTCCCTCCCCAGGAGCCAGGAGTGTGTCTGCAACACTCTGATGGTGCCTGCAACCATGCTGCGAGGCAACAGCCTCAGACCAGCCAGCCCCAGATGCTGTGACACCAAGGACAGTGCCACAGACACCACACCCAGATGCTGTGACACCAGGTGACACTGCCACGAGCTGCTCTGCTGCCACCACAGGCAGGCACCCCCTCCTCATGTCACGCTCCAGCTTCTCATTGAAATAAGGGACATTCTCACACCCAGGCACTCGCTCAGGAACTTCCAGGCACTTCCATCACCGCCAACACCACAGAACAATCCACACCTCACCCCACCTGCCGTCCCCTGGCAGCCCACAGCCACCCTGTGTCGCCCTGAAAACTCAGCTTTTGAGCTTGCTGACATAGTTTCCTAAGGACTTTCCCAGGACAGTAACTGTAAACATAGATATGTGGACATTCTTTCTGTTACACATCTTGTGATGGGCATCTCTCATGGCCAGTGCAGTGGGAAAGTGTTATCCTGACCATCCAATCCCTGGCTGTGGTCAGAAACCTATAAATCCTGGGAGGAAAAATAAACTCTCTCTTCTTTTCACCACACCTCGACCTGTGTGCGTGTGATCTATTCATCTTCAGTGGTAACAACCCTGCCCGCTGCCGGGCCCACAGCCACCCTCAGGCCCACAGCCACCCTTGGGCCCACGGCCACCCTCAGGCCCACAGCCACCCTTGGGCCCATGGCCACCCTCAGGCCCACAGCCACCCTTGGGCCCATTGGCACCCTCAGGCCCACAGCCACCCTCAGGCCCACAGCCACCCTTCCCGCTGCCAGCCCTTACCGGCCTGGTTGGTGGTGATGTTCACCGAGGCAAACTGCGGGGAGAAGGGGCTCTGGTCGGTGACGCCGTTGACGGCCTGGATCTCGAAGGTGTACTGGGTGTGTGCCAGCAGGTCGCTGATGTAGATGCGGGGCTCGGTGAGGCCCAGCTGGCGCGGGGCGAACTGCACGTTGTCCCCGCAGCGCGTGCAGGCCCCGCGGCCCGCCCCGCAGCTCTTGCAGATGATGTTGTACACCAGGTCCTCCCGGCCCCCCGAGTCCCGCGGGGGGCTCCACTCCAGCATCAGAGAGGTCTCGTTCACGCTGGAGATCACGGCCTGGGGAGCCGATGGGATGGCTGGAGAGGGAACGGATGGCAAGGTGTGAGACGGCTGTGTTATCGCTACACACGAAGTATAAAGTGAAGGTTCTGAACATCACAAGCAGCCAGAGGTTTTCAGGAGGCAAAAAGCCTTTATTTCAGGGTTTTCAACCCTTTTTATAAGGTTGGTAGAAGGAACAACATCTCCCTCTCATCCCATTGGTGGGACAAGAGAAAAACACTGTCAGAATGTCAGTGTCTTGTTTTTGGGAAAGTAAAAACTTATTTACACAACAGTCCTTAAGAGAAGAAAAAGATCCCAAAGACTTTCCCTTGGGAACAATCAGCCCCTGAGAGCTTGAAATTCTCTCAGGTTCAGAAAATCATGTCCATGGCTGCATCCCCCCTCCTCCCCATCCCCAGGCAGCACTCTGAGCTGGAAGCTCATCTAGGTGTGAGGACATCCACAAGCAAGAGTGGGAATGAAACCAGTCCTCCTAGCCCAGGCTAATTCGATTGTGTGACAGTCCTGACAAAATTTACCACTTAGTTTGTGTAGTGTCCCCTCAAAACCCCACTGAGACACCTCTGTCAAGCATCCCTTGATGCTTTGGCTGAGGATCATCCCCTGTCCCCAGCATGTGGTCCCCTCCCAGGTGCCCAGAGCCACTCACTGGTGCATGGCATGTCCACGGGGTCGGCGTCTGCCCGGTAATATCCATTTCGGCACACGCAGTTTGTGGCCCCTTCCGAGGTTGTCCGGCTGTTGATGGGGCAGTGGACACAGCCCTCATCCCCCTGGCTGGCCTTGAATGTTCCTGAGGGGCAGCCTGGAAGAGAAGGAGAGCGATGGTGAGCAGTGAGAAGGGGGCTGGGGGGATGCCTGGAGCCCAAAGGAAAGGAGGTGAACACGGCAGAGAAGGAGCAGCTGCTCGAAAGGCCCCTGAGGAGGCACCTGCAGGGATGTGTGCCCATACAGACACTTCATGTGTCCCCATGTAGACACCTGATGGGTCCCCATGTAGACACCTCTGTCCCCATTCCCCAACCATGAGTGCAGGATGGGGATTGTAGGAGTCAGAGGGGATTTTTAGCCACTGCTTTACCAGATCAGACCACGGACACCAGAATCCTCCCCACAGCAGTGACTGTCAGGGGAGGTTTAGGTTGGATTTCAGGAAAGGTTCTTCCCCCTGAGTGTGCTGGCATTGCCCAGGCTCCCCAGGGAATGGGTATGGCCTCAAGGCTGCCAGAGCTCCGGGAGGGTTTGGACAACACTCCTAGGGATTCCCAGGGTGGGATTGTTGGGGTGTCTGTGCAGGGTCAAGGTTTGCATTTGATCCCTGTGGGTCTCTTCCAAGTCAGGATAGTCCATGATTCCATGACCAGCCTGAACCAGGGCATGAACCAGGTGCATTTCTTGCCCACAACTTCCCCAGTTCTTTCTCAGACACAGCTCCTTGCACTCCATACCCCAGGAGGGTGTTTCTCCCACTGTCACCCACTCATTTCTTTATTCCCTGCACCTGTTTTACCCCTGAAGAGCCCTGTGCTGTAACCACACGCTGCAGGAAGAAACTGCTGCTCTCTGCTTCGAAGCCAAGCTGCCATTCCTGATGCCATCCCACATTTCCACTGCCAATGCACACTCAATCACCATCTGCCTTGTCCACGACCTCTAGAGCTGTCCAAACCTCTGTCATGCTCCACACTGCATAACAACATTCAGTGTTTTACTCTCTTTTCAGCAATGCCCACGTTATTTTTTAGCCACCAGTGTAGTGACTGTGAAAGCCCCAAGATCTGAGCTGTGAGGGCCATCCCAGCTCATCTCTGTGCAGGTGTGTGTGAATTGCCCTACTGGAAGATGCCCCTGCCCGTGGCAGATGGCCTTTATGGCATCTCCAAACCCAAATCATTCTGTGATTCCACCTTTCCACCAGCTTGGGGTTGTTTTTCTTCCATTTGTATCACCTCAAGTCTTTTGAATTCCAATTTCCCTCTCATTCCCTGGCCACGCTGTCTCATAGGGTCCTTCTGCAACTCTCCAGAGAGTTTTGTCCTCATGACTTTGTAGATGTGGCACTTGGGGACATGGCAGTGCTGGGTCGATGATCCTAGGGGGCATTTCCAACCTTAATGAATTAATAAATTATTGGTTCTGCTGAGCAGTAACAGCAGCCTGGGCTCTGCCTCCAGGGCTCTGAGCCCCTCACAGGTGAAGAAGATGCTCCATAAGCAGCAGCCACTCAACCCCAAATGTGTCCAGCCCCACAGGGGGTGCAGCAGATGGTGCTGAAGGCTGGTCCATGCTGTGATCCAGCACTAACAGACCCAGGGACCCCACAGAAAGTCCTTTCCAAGCCCAGGGATCACCAGTGCCCAAGGAAAAGCTCAGCTCGGAGGCTCAGACCGTTCCTCTGTGGTTACTCCTGTTGTGATTTTGTGTTGCTGTTAATTCTTCCACAGCCTGAAGGGCCTGGGGGGAGCCAGGTGGTTCCTGTGCTGAAACAAGTTTAACAAACTCCTCCTTCAGTTGCCTGCCAAGGCTCCCAGGAACGAGGCAGATCAGAAAACAGTCTGGGAAAAACATTCACTGGGGCTGCTGTGAGCAAGAGCCATTGCTAAGAAGCAGCTATTTGGGAAAAAAGGATAAAAGAAGGTTGGTTTGTTTTGGTTTGGTTTTTTTTTTTCAATTTTCATCTCCTTTCCTCCAGAATTATCCTGAGTTTCCAATGAGAAGAGCTCTACAGAAAAATTCCATCAGCTTTCCTGCTTGCATTGTCCCTCCTTCCTCTTGTGGTCAAAGGAGCTGTTGAAAAACAGGATTCTCCTCGTGTTTCCTGGGTTTTCCCATCGATTCCATTCCTGACCCACTTCCCTCAGGAGCAGCCCAGCTCAGAGGGTGTTAAGCTGTTGGGAGAGGAGATGGCTGGGCAGTTCTGCACTCCCCACAAGTGATGGGGACATGATAACAGGCTTCTTGCACTAATACCAATATTTGAGACACACAAAAGACCAACACATAAAATTGCTCTCATCTGACAGGGTGAAATGCAGGGTCATTCCAGCAAGGATTGTTTCAGACAGGGACCTCTTTCACCTTCCTGAGGTTTATTTTAAAAATAGCTACTTTCCTATAATGCTGCTTCTGCATCAAGACAGAGAGACATCCAAAAGGTGCCCAGTGTGGAGTGTAGTGATTACTCCAAGGGATAAAAACATTCCCCACACTGGCCCTGGCACAGGTCAATGGCTGGAGAGGGATAAAAACTGAGGCTCAGTGGTTGTTCCTCAAAAATACCAAGCTGGGACACTGAAACTCTTTGCATGAGCCAGCAAAAAACACAGCCAGGAGTTTTGTCAAGTCCCTTCCTCCCCAGTAGGTCCCACATGGGATAAAAAAATCAGAACTTCTCTGAAGTTGAATGTTCTGGAATCATGTGGAAAGACAGGAAAAATCGCTGGAATTTGATGCAAAGTCCTTTTTTTTATTGACTTATTTTTCTCAAGTAATGACAACCTCCAGAAGCAAAATAAATGAACATTGTGTTTAAAACTGTTCTGCTCCCTCCAGGTCTTCCCCTGGGTGAGAAAACAGATTTTCTTTAGGAATCCACCCAATTCCTTGTTTCCAGTGTAAACAGCAAATCAAAAGTGAAATCTTCACACAGGAGCTAAAACCCCTCCTGCCTGAAAAATGGGAATTTTCTCACCATGTGCTGGAAGCATCACAGAATCATGGAATATCCTGAGCTGGAAGGGACCCACAGGGATCAGATCCAAACGTTGACCCTGCACAGACACCCCAACAATCCCACCCTGAGCATCCCTGGGAGTGCTGTCCAAACCCTCCTTTCCTGATATCCTTTCCTCCTTTCCAGCCTGACACAGACACGAGGACACCCCAATTTTCTGGGAGGTGACAGCAGCTTTGGGACACTCCTGCTTTTCCTTAGGCTTGCAGCAAGGACATCCCTAAAAATTCCTGCTTGGAAAGAGGGGATTGAAACAGAGATTTCTACTTTATCCAAGCATCTTTCATCCCTGGAGGGTGATTTTGGTGCCAGTGGCTCTGGCCCCATCAGTTTCCTGCACCTCCAGCAGCGATGGGATGCTGACAGGGCTTCACAGGGAACAGATGGACCTTTAATTGCCTCTGGGCTGGCTGCCTTGCTGGGTACAGCTCTGAGGGCAGCCTGCAGTTCTGGCTGTGCCTGTCTCCAACCTGGAATGGGAATTCCAGGCTGGGAATGCTGAGCAGTGCTGGATCTCCTTGCTTGCCACTCGCTCCCAGGGCATGGAAAGGCACGTGCTTGGGTCATCACAGAATAAACTGAGTTGGAGGGGACCACAAGGAGCATGGAGCTCAGCTCCTGAAGGGAATTCCATGGGAAGGACCCAGGGAGCATCCTGCCCTCCCTGCAGAGGACCACACCAGGCTGCTGGCACCGAGCTTCCAGCCCTGGGGCAGCTCAGCAGGGAAAAGCATCCCATGGCTCAGGGAAAACCTTTGGCCAAATGTGCAGGAGGGGCCGCCCTGTTCCTTCGTGTCTCACTGCCTCTCTCTAACCAACTCTTTAATTAATCCAGTGCGAGCTGGGCAGGCTCCAACCCAGCTCCCAAACTGCCCTGGCCTTCAGAGGCCCCTCCTGGAAACAGCTCTGAGCAAACAGCTCCCTCCTGCAATAAAAGTTCCTAAAATGGCACCTTCAGCCCATGCTGAGAGCTCTGAGGAAGGAAGGATTCTCCTCGCCCCCTCTGCCTGGCCCTGTTTCTCCTGGCAGCGAGGATCCCTGAACTCCAGAGAGGCATTTTTAAAGGCTGATGGAAACCAGGCAGCCCTGGCTGTCAGGATCTGCCAGGAGCCTTAAATCCCCAGCCTTATCTCCCCACTGGCTCCTTTCTCCCTGCGGGGCCAGGGCTGGGGGCTGGCTCTGCAGCTCCCCTTGGCCACATCCTGCCTCTTGCCCTCCTCTGTGGCTTTGGGGGTGCTTTTGGGATCCCTCCTCCATGCTCTTGGTGTCCCTGCTCCCACTGGCGGCCTCATCACCCCACAAACCCTGTGTGGTTCTTGGTCCCACACCACAGGGCTGCTCCCACTCCAGCCCCACATCAAATCCCACAGATGCTCTGATGGGGAATAAGGAAAACAATGTCCTGGGTCAAACCAGGAGGAGCATGGCCAGGACATTGGGGGAGGTGTTTTCCTTTCCCCTGCCAGGCACTGGGGATGCTGCCATGGTCCATTCAAGGGGGACAGGGAGGAGCAGGAGACTCCAGATGGTCATCCCTGGGGCACAGGAGAGGTGGGAAGAGCTGGATGGGGTAACTGGGGATGCTGGGGTAAGGGGGAATCAAACTGCTCCTGCTGAAGACAGGCTCAAACACTTCTCAGGGTGCCAGACTCTGCAACACAGGACAAGGACCACAAGTTCAGACAGGACATTATGAAAAGCTGCTTCACCAAAAGCTGGTGCTGACCTGGGAGAGGGGTAGGTGGAGTGAGCAGGATTCCATCCTTGGGGTAGATGGAGCAAAATTCCATGGCTGCCTTGAACTGGCAGCCCCAGTGCAAATGGGTGCTGGACATGAGACCCCAGAGCCTCCCTGCCCAGCACTTCTGGCTCTCTGCTGTTTGTGGTGTGTGGGGTATTCCATGGAATCATGGAATGGATTTGGGTTCAAAAGGACCTTAAAGCTCATCTCAGGTTCAATTACATCCCACTATCCCAGGCTGCTCCCAGCCCCAATGTCCAGCCTGGCCTTGGGCACTTCCAGGGATCCAGGGGCAGCCCCAGCTGCTCTGGGCACCCTGAGCCAGGGCCTG